TGGCCTGCTGTGTTCATCCAGCTCTGCACCTTGTTATCTCAGATTTGATTAAAATGTTCAAAATCCTGAGACAGAAGCACTATCCACACTGGTGGAGAGATTGAGAATCAGAAGATCCCGAATTAGAATGACTGCCACAAGAACTAAAGGCAGCATGAGGAAAAACTTCATTCCACAGTAAGTGGTTAGGGTTTGAAATGTGCTGCCTGAGAGTGTGGCAGAGGCAGGTCAAATTGAGGCTTTCAAAAGGATAAGCGCCTGAAGGAAAATGAAAAACTGCAAGGTTACAGGAAAGGTGAATAGAACCAGCTCAGTTGTTGTTACAGAGAACAGACACAGAGCCTGCAGGCCGAATGGCCTCCTTCTGTGCCAAGACCATTTTACTACCTATTAAGTAGAAGCTTAAAATCCATGAAGATTTTTTTTCAGAAATAGATGTTCAGCAAGCTTGATTTGGGAATTAATGTCAATTCTGAATGTTAAAAGCATGTCTCTGAGTCAACTACTCAGCCCCACAAGTAACAACATTCCTACAAGGTCATATGAGTGGTGTTGTTATGGTGACTGACAACAATTTAAACTACTTCACCTGCCTTCAGATGTAATGATGTGACAGCCAGGGCGATCAAGCACTTGCCAACATTACACACAAAACAAACCTTTCTACCGAATTAAACTCCCTACCTCCAGTATTCTGCATTGACAATTCAAGAACTGCTTCTCAAATGTTTGATGTCCTTTTTTTTACAAATTGCTGACAGTCTCTGATGTGCAAGAGGAGGATAGCAGTCTGATCTGTAGTGATGGAACAGCGTTAAAAGAGTCAAATTATTACAACATGCAAAGAGACTCTTTAATTACAAATGTTTTCAAGGAGGAGATAGATACTGTCATTAGGACTATAGGGATTACAAGGTATGGGACAAAAGTAGGAAACAGTGCACTGAGGTGGATAATCAATCGTCATCATATTGAATGGTGGAGCAGAGTCCAAGGGCTGAATGACCTACTCCTCTTCCTATTTCCTATGTTTCTATACTATGTTTGTGGTCATCAAGCACTTGGCCTGTAGGCTTGAGTTTCAAGTTTTCATCCTACCACTTCTTAAATGGCAGCGAGTTCCAGATATCCAACAATCCTCTGGGTAAACAAAAACTCCTTAAACTCCCAATCCATACCTTAAATCTATGCCATCTGCTTATTGGTTCTTTACAAAAAGGAAAGATTTCTTCCTATTGGTGCAGCACAGTAGCTCAGCGGTCAGCACTGCAGCCTTACAGTGCCAGGGACCTGGGCTCGATTCCATCTTCACGTGACTGTGTGGAGTTTGCATGTTCTCCCTGTGTCTGTGTGGTTTGTTCTGAATTTCTCCCACAGTCCAAAAATGTGTTGGTTAGGTGGACTGGCCTTGGAAAGTGCAGGGTTACAAGGGATACAAAGATGGGAGCAGGATCAAAAGGCTGAATGGCCTACTCTCCCTATTTTCTTCCACTTTGGAGGGTCAGTGTGGACTCAATGGGCTGAATGGCCTGCTTCCACATTGTATAATTCTATGTCCCCTGCTAATTTTGTATACTCCATTCACGAACCGCTTAGCTTTCTGTACTCTAATTTAGTATCTCTTATAGCTGAAACACTCCAGACCAGGCAACATCCTGGTGGCTCTCCTCTGCACCTTTTCAGCCATCGAAACTTTTGATCTGCAGAAACCTGGTTGGAAATGGGGGAGAAAAACACATCTCAGACCACCTTCCCCATCCACCCTGCAGAAATAGGAGAGTAATACATTCATTGCATTCATGTTTTAACTTTAAATATCACGAGTAGAAGGTGAACTCTAGCCAGAAAAAAATGTAAACATTTTCAAACGACGTTCGAACAGCACAAGAGAACAAGACAACAGCGTGCAGCTGGAGGAACACAGCAGGCCAGGCAGCATCAGAGGAGCAGGAAAGTTGATGTTTCAGGTCGGGACCCTTCTTCAGATCCTTTTCAGATTCTTTTTTCTGAAGAAGGGTCCCGACCCGAAACATCAATTTTACTCTTCCTCTGATGCTGCCTGGCCGGCTGTGTTCCTCCAGCTCCACACTGCGTTATCTCTGACTCCAGCATCTGCAGCTCTTGCTATCTCACAAGAGAACACGTGTATTCTTGAGAGATAGTAGGAGCTGCAGATGCTGGAGAATCTGAGATAACAAGGTGTAGAGCTGGATGAACACAGCAGGCCAAGCAGCATCAGAGAAGCAGGAAGGCTGACGTTTCGGCCCTAGACCCTTCTTCAGAAATGGGGGAGGGGAAGGGGGTTCTGAAATAAATAGGGAGAGAGGGGGAGGCGGATAGAAGATGGATAGAGGAGAAGATAGGTGGAGAGGAGACAGAACGGTCGAAGAGGCGGGGATGGAGCTAGTAAAGGTGAGTGTAGGTGGGGAGGTAGGGAGGACGGACAGGTCAAGGGGGCGGGATGAGGTTAGTAGGTAGGAGATGGGGGTGGGGCTTGAGGTGGGAGGAGGGGATAGGAGGGAGGAAGGACAGGTTAGGGAGGCGGGGACGAGCTGGGCTGGTTTTGGGATGCGTTAGGGGGAGGGGAGATTTTGAAGCTTGTGAAGTCCACATTGATACCATTGGGCTGCAGGGTTCCCAAGCGGAATATGAGTTGCTGTTCCTGCAACCTTCAGGTGGCATCATTGTGGCACTGCAGGAGGCCCAGGATGGACATGTCGTCTGAGGAATGGGAGGGGGAGTTGAAATGGTTCGTGACTGGGAGGTGCAGTTGTTTAGGGCGAACCGAGCGTAGGTGTTCTGCAAAGCGGTCCCCAAGCCTCCGCTTGGTTTTCCCGATGTAGAGGAGGCCACAACGGGAACAGCGGATACAGTATACCACATTAGCAGATGTACAGGTGAACATCTGCTTGATGTGGAAAGTCTTCTTGGGGCCTCGGATGGAGGTGAAGGGGGAGGTGTAGGGGCAGGTGCAGCACTTCCTGCGGTTGCAGGGAAAAGTGCCGGGTGTGGTGGGGATGGAGGGGAGTGTGGAGCGGACAAGGGAGTCACGGAGAGAGTGGTCCCTCCGGAAAGCAGATAAGGGTGGGAAGGGAAAAATGTCATTGGTGGTGGGATCGGATTGCAGATGGCGGAAGTGTCGGAGGATGATGCGTTGGATCCAGAGGTTGGTGGGGTGGTACGTTAGAACGAGAGGGATTCTGTTTTGGTTGTTATTGCGGGGAGGGGGTGTGAGGGATGAGTTGCGGGAAATATGGGAGACACGGTCAAGGGCGTTCTCGACCACTGAGGGGATGAAGTTATGGTCCTTGAAAAACGAGGACATCTGAGATGTACGGGAGTGGAATGCCTCAACCTGGGAGCAGATGCGGCGGAGGCGAAGGAATTAGGAATAGGGGGCTATTTTTGCAGGAAGGTGGGTGGGAGGAGGTGTATTCTAGGTAGCTGTGGGAGTTGGTGGGCTTGAAATGGATATCGGTTTCTAGGTGATTGCCAGAGATGGAAACAGAGAGGTTCAGGAAGGAGAGAGAGGTATTAGAGATAGTCCAGGTGAACTTAAGGTTGGGTTGGAAGGCATTGGTGAAGCGGATGAATTGTTCGAGCTCCTCATGGGAGCACGAGGCGGCACCAATACAGTCATAAATGTAACGGAGGAAGAGGTGGGGTTTAGGGCCAGTGTAGCTACGGAAGAGGGATTGTTCCACGTAACCTACAAAGAGGCAGGCATAGCTTGGGCCCATGCGGGTACCCATGGCCACCCCCTGTCTCTGTCGGAAGTGGGAGGAATTGAAAGAGAAGTTGTTGAGGGTGAGGACGAGTTCGGCTAATCGGATGAAGGTGTCAGTGGAGGGGGACTGGTCGGGCCTGCGGGACAGGAAGAAGCGGAGGGCCTTTAGGCCATCTGTATGGGGAATGCAGGTGTACAGGGACTGGACGTCCATTGTAAAGCTGAGGTGTTGGGGACCGGGGAATTGGAAGTTCTGGAGGAGGTGGAGGGCATGGGTGGTGTCACGGACGTAGGTAGGGAGTTCCTAGACCAAGGGGGAGAAAACGGAGTCGAGATAGGTGGAGATAAGTTCGGTGGGGCAGGAGCAGGCGGAGACAATGGGTTGACCAGGGCAGTCAGGTTTGTGGATTTTGGGAAGGAGATAGAAACAGGCGGTACGGGGTTCGGGAACAATGAGGTTGGAGGCTGTGGGTGGGAGGTCACCTGAGTTGATGAGGTTGTGGACGGTTTGGGAGATGATGGTTTGATGGTCGGGGGTGAGATCATGATCAAGGGGGCGGTAGGAGGTGGTGTCGGAGAGTTGGCACCTGGCCTTGGCGATGTAGAGGTCAGTGCGCCATACTACAACTGCACCTCCCTTGTCCACGGGTTTTATGGTGAGGTTGGGATTGTAGCGGAGGGCTGCACGTTCTGCTGGGGAGAGGTTGGAGTGAGTGAGAGGGGTGGAGAGGTTGAGGCGATTGATGTCTCGACAACAAAAACAAAGTTGCTGGAAAAGCTCAGCAGGTCTGGCAGCATCGGTGAAGGAAATAAAATAAGAGTTAACGTTTGGGTCCGGTGACCCTTCCTCAGAATCCGTAACGTTAACTCTTATTTTATTTCTTTCACCGATGCTGCCAGACCTGCTGAGCTTTTCTAGCAACTTTGCTTTTGTTCCTGATTTACGGCATCCGCAGTTCATTCGGTTTTTATAAAATCATCACCTGTTATAAGAAAGTGGTATTTATCTTGCGGCATATATTTGAAGAAACAACTTCAAATCAGTTTAAATCTTACTCACCAGACTAGACCGTTGGCGGCGGCGCGCTCGCGCGGTGCACGTGGGTGGGAGGGTCGCCCCGGGGTGAAGCTTCTGGAAAGTTCTCTTGTTCGGCGTGTGCACTCTGGAGGATCTCCGTCGCCTGGTCCTTGTGGACGAAGATTGATGGCTCCTTGGATACCAGAGGTACCGGGGATTGATTGGAGCGTATGAAAGTGTAAACTGTAGAGCGACGAGGGAGGGAAGATTTGAAAACTAAACCAAAACTTCATGAGGAACAGGGGCATCGGTGATTCCACCACCCCCGGAAAAACAAACAGTTTTTATTCAGCCGAATGGGGCAACGGGGTTCCTCCGTGCGCAAAATGACTCGGAGCATGTTCCCTTTGAGTCACAAGGTTGTGAGTTCAAGTCCCACTGAACCAGAAACAAAAGCTAAGCTGGTGCCCCCAGAGTTGTACCAAAACAGTACTGAATTGTCAGAGTCAAATGATGGTTACATTATCACCATTTTTATTTAATTCAGATTTTACCAGCACATTTGCATTAAGACACTCCTTAAAATATCTTTGACTAAATTTCTGGTCATTTGACCTAACACCTGTTGGTTTTTTTTAATATAATGCTCCTGTGAAATACCTTGTGAAGATCAGAAATGTTAACGGTTGTAATACTTTCAGTACTCGATCTTGGCTTAAATTTACCTTGTAACAATCAGCTCAACAACAGTACAAAAGGCCGTTTGGTCAGCAAATATCAGGCCTTACTGCAAGCCTGAACACAGTGCACAGTCAGATCATTAGTTACTCAATGACACCCAGACATGGACTGCTGCTGAGCTGGCTTTTACATCTCACAGAAGCTAGTGACCGACCCTCTTTCTAAGTATATCACTAGAACACTGAATGGGTAGGTTCTCTTTGGGGAGTCCCAACTGTTCTAAACAACGCACCAGCTCTGCTGTCCAACTCATGAAGTAAGGGTCAGTCTACGGATCTCCTCTAAATATTGACCTTTGCTTCCTTGGTGCTTGAAGGTGCCACCCAATGTGGTGCCAAACCACACTGCTGGAATATTCTAGTTTTGGTTCATGACCTACACTAAGTTAACAAGGATAGTAATATACTGGTAATGTAACTGAGATAGTAATTCAGAGACCTGGGTTAATGTGCTGGAGATCAGAGTTCCAATCTGACCATTAGCATCTGGGGCAATTTTGAATTCAATCTGGAATAAATTGCCAGTCTTATTATTAGTAATGATCATGAAAATACCAATTTGTCATAAAAAACAATTGATTTACTAATGTCCTTTAGGGAAGGAAACTGCCATCCTTTCCTGATCTGGTCTGGTGTACGTATGACTCCAGACCCACAGCAATGTGCTTGAGACATAACTGCCCTCTGGACAATTAGAGATGGGCAATAAATGCTACCTGGCTAGCGACACCCTCATCCCGTGAATGAATAAATTAAAAAAAATGACCTTGTTGTAAGAGATGACTGTAGTTGGCACATAGTTCTGCTGGCATCTCCTTTGGGGTAGATTTGCTGTCACTAACCCATATTATACTGGTCTATGGGGCTCACCAGTATTAAGTGATGAATGATTAACCACTTATTTGTCTTTAGCAGAAAAGGTATGTAGTTGAGTAACAAGTAATAGTTATTACTTAATCATAAAATAACAGGTTACATTAGCTCAATCAGAGATAGTAAGAACTGCTGATGCTGGAGGAACACAGCAAGCCAGGCAGCATCAGAGGAGCAGGAAAGCTGACATTTCAGATCGTAACCCTACTTCAGAAATGGGGGAGGGGGAAGGGAGCTCTGAAATAAATAGAGAGAAGGGGAGGGGCTGGGGAAGGTTGGGGGGATGGTGATAGGTGAGTGCAGGTAGGCAGTGGTGGGGATTGGTCAGTGAGGTGGGAGGAGCGGATAGATGGGAGAGAAGACGGACAGGTTGCGACAGGTCAAGGAGGCAGGGATGTGAGGGACGGTTGGTCATGGGATGAGGCCGGGGGTGGGGAGATTTTGAAGCTGCTAAAGTCCACACTGAGACCATCGGGTTGTAGGCTCCCAAGGCGGAATATGAGGTGCTGCTCCTCCAGTTTCCGGGTAGCATCGTTGTGACAATGGAGGAGACCCAGGATGGATATTTCGTGCAGGGAGTGGGAGGGGGAGTTGAAGTGGTCTGCAACTGGAAGGTGTTGTCGTTTGTCGTGACAGAGTGCAGGTGCTCTACAAAGCGGTCTCTGAGCTTCCTCTCCCCGCAACAAAAACAAAGACAGAAGCCTCCTTGTCTTTACGTATCACCCCACTAACCTCCGGATTCAACGTATCATTCTCTGCCACCTGCAATCTGACCCCACGACCAAGGATATATTTCCCTCCCCACCCCTATCTGTCTTCCCTGCGCTCTCCATGACTCCCTCGTCTGCTCCACGCTCCCCACTAGCCCCACAACCCCCAGCACCTTTCCCTGCAACCGCAGGAAGTGCTACATTTGTCCCTACACCTCACCCCTCACCTCCATCCAACGACCCAATAAAACCTTCCACATCAGACAAATATTCACCTGCACGTCCGCTAATGTGGTCTACTGCATCCACTGCTCCCGATGTGGCCACCTCTACACCGGTGAGACCAAGCGAAGGCTCAGAGACCACTTTGTAGAGCACCTGCACTCTGTTTGTGACAAACGACAGCGCCTTCCAGTCGCAAACTACTTCAACTCACCTATCCCACTCCCTGGACGACATGTTCATCCTGGGCCTCCTCCAGTGTCACAATGATGCCACCTAGAAACTGGAGGAGCCGCACCTCGTGTTCCGCCTTGGGAGCCTACAACCCAATGGTCTCAATGTGGACTTTACTCGTTTCAAAATCTCACCACCCCCAGCCTCTTCCTATGACCGACCCTCCCTCTCATCCCCGCCTCATTGACCAGACACAACCTGTCCGTCTTCTCTCCCACCTATCTGCTCCTCCCACCTCACTGACCAATCCCCACCACAGCCTACCTGCACTCACCTATCACCATCCCATCTATCTTCCCCAGCCCCACCCCTCCTGTCTATTTATTTCAGAGTTCCCTTCCCCCATTTCTGAAGAAGGGTCCTGATCTGAAATGTCAGCTTTTCTGCTCCTCTGATGCTGCCTGGCCTGCTGTGTTCCTCCAGCTTGACACTGTTATCTATTACATTAGCTCAAATCTGGTTAGCTACATTAAAACTAGGTAAGTGATGTTATTTTGAAAGAGATAGTAACTAGTTTGTGCCACACGCTGTAGACTTAGAACTGACTAGCAACTAACAAATTCTGGTAATTTCATGATCATTACTAATGAGACTAGCATTCTATTTCATATTCATTAATTGAATTTAAGTGTACCAAGCAAGTTAGCAAGACAGAAGATTGGAAGGACAGGGAGAATAAAAATCAATACAGTAGGTGCCTTTTTGTGGATGTTGAACCAGCTACTAATGATTCACTTTTGGATTCAGAAAAGGTCACCTTCTCTGAACCCTGTAAATCCCACAATTTATTGCTGTGGCCATTATTTATCCATGAACCAATATCATGAAAGCCCAATGGATTATCTGGCCATTAATAAATATATTATTTGTGGAAGCCTGCTAATGCAAATCAGTTGTTTCCATACAGTGACTGACCCTACAAAGGTTTGATTTGGCTGCACAGAGATATTCTGAGGCCATGAAAGGTGTTATATGAATGCAAAAAAATCTTTGTTTCATTTTTATCATGGGGTAATAGCAGGTAAGAGAATGTGGAATAACTAGAGACCTGCTGAATCATCTTAAGAGCTGGTATGATCAGGAAATCAATTCATTTCCAAGAGTTTGACAGCGTGTAGCCTCTGCAGGGAAGCCTTCAAATTGTCCATCAGCTTCTAAAGAAATACATCACATAAAGAAATGTGACCTGTGAATTATAGGCCATCATGTGCACTCTGAAGGTTTTCAATGGAGAATGTGTGACGTATTCGTACTCTTGACCCCACCACGTATAAAGCAAGAAATCTGAAAATCAAAGGAACTACAAGATACATGCAGCCAGACCACAGGTTGGTGGATGAAGACAGGCTGTGGTCAGATATCTGATGGGCTTTGCTTTACAAAAATGGTCACTTTTGTGCCTGCCTCCCCAGGGAATTACCGAGACCCTCATCCCTTTTTCCCCACTTTCCCCACTTTCCCACCATAGCCCACAGAGCAGACAATGTTTTTCTGCATTTCTAAAGCAAACTTTGTCAACTCTTAAACATAGAGCGTTCATTTTGTTGAACCAAGGACAAGTACGGCGTCTGCAACTAGGCTGCATTTTTGCCAGGGGTTGTTGGGATCCTGGCGTCAGTCTCAATTCAGTGCTCTAGGTCCAAGCCCTGGAAGTAGGTTTGTGGTCTTCCCAGAGGCAGCCAATTTAGAAACTGACCCCTTGAGCCCAGTCCCTTTCAGGACAACTGGTGGCTCAGGGACATGGGAAATGGCCAACACCAGTGACAGGCACATGGAAGATGCTTAGGTTGGTCAGAGAAAGGGAAATTGCCCCCGCTGGCCGACACAGGAAAGAAGATAGACAAACAGGATGCTGGAAGAACACAGCAGGCCAGGCAGCATGTGGAGGAAAGGAGCAGCCAACGTTTCAGATATTACTCTTCAGGACTGGATGTGGAGGTATGGGGAGCTGTAGATTACGGCGGGGGGAAGGGGGTGAAGGTGGAATGGTGGTGATAGGTGGACACTGGTGGTAGGTAAGACCTGGGTTGGTCGATGGGAGGGAGGAATCTAGTTGGTGGTTATAAGGGAGGGTCAGAAGGTGGAATGGAAGGGAGGAGGTGGGGCTGAAAAGGGAGGAGGGTGATGGGTGGCAAGGTTATTTGAAATTGGGGAACTCAATGTTGAGTCCTGCAGGCTGTAGGGTGCCCAGGCAGAAGATAAGGTGGTCTTCAAATTTGCTTTCCAAGTAACTGCAACACTGGAGGAGGCCAAGGACGGACATGTCGATGGGGGAGTGGGACAGGGAGTTGAAATTGAAATGGGCAGTGACCGGGAGGTTAGGTTGGCCGTTACGGGCCAGGTGGAGATGCTCATCAAAACGGCCACCTAGGCTACGTTTGGTCTCACCGACGTAGAGAAGACCACATTGGGAGCACCAGATGCAATAGACTAGGTTGAAGGAAATCAGATGAAGCTCTGTCTTTCTTCGAAGAGCTGTTTAGGGCTTTGAATGGAGGTGAGGGAGGTGGTATGTGGGTAGGTGTTGC